ACTATGGAGGAATGACTCAACAACACGACACGCTCAATGACCATGCTGCAAGCTGCAACTCAGTTCCCCATCATGCTTTGTAAGTATGTTCAGAGAAGAGGTGTAGTTAAGTAGCAGAGTGGCAAGATCACATCTGGATAATTGTGTGTATTGGTCTGCATGTGTATAAAACCAGTGATATTTGCTATGTGAGAAAATTATTATTAACTATGCTTCCAATGAAATATATCTTTTAGCTGTGCCAGACAGGTTATTTGTGTTGCCCTCTTCGAAGCGAGGATATGTTCCAAGTTATGCATTACCATTTACCTCGTTTTTTGCGTTTTCAAAAACTTTAAGGAGCAGTACGGGAAATCAGCACTGCACCCGAGTTGTGTGTAATTAAGCCACATCACAGAAAAATTTGAAATGACGCATCACACACAAAACATTATCGCACTGCCTCACATCTAGGTTCTGATTTTTATTTTCTATATTTGACATCATAGAATAAATTTCTATAAAATTTAAATGATTGGAAATAAAAATTAATGTGAAATGTAATACATTTTTTACGTTTTATAAATTTCCTTGTATGTACCATATTTTCTCACCTGTTAGTTTTAATATACTCACAGAGGATTTTCTTTTTTTATCGCTCTCTTTTTTGAATTCCAGCAAATTTATAATTTCCAGGTTGAATAAAAAAAAGCGGATGGGCAACTAATCTTTAGCTTTGTATAGTCTCAAGTTAGTGTATTTGAGACAAGAAACCAATGGAATTATAATAAACACGGATTATCAGCACACAAATCCTATACAACTTACAGCTTAGACCTCCAATAATGCCAGCTCTGAAGCAGATGTTACATCATATCAGAGCCAAACATTGATAGCTGAAGCATCATGACGTTTAGGCAACACGTATATCTACGAAACTCAACAAGCTACATAATGTCACCAAAAATCTATATACTCGTAATGTCAAAAAAAAACGACATATTACTTTTCAAGCTACGTAATACGGCTGCGGTATTACATAACCAAGTGATTATCAAGTCCGCTCCACTTCAGAAGGTTTTCAATAATTAATACAAGCCTAGGCAACCCTAGGTATGTAGATGTCCTCCTTTCCCGAGAACGGATTCTTAGTATCGCAGACAAAAGACAAGCGGAACTGAAGAAGAAGGAAACAGTATCCATCCCTTTGGATGATTTTGACCTTGACGTAAAAAGCCTTTGCGCAGTTTAACATTTAGTCGCAGCAGGCATTACTGAACGAGAGGGTTTAAAATACACAACAAGAGCTATTATAATCAGTTATCAAAATGTTGTTACAAACGGTCTTACACCCCTGCTCCAAAGACACACAGACTTCTTTCTCTCGTAACGGCGTATCGCAGGCGGACAGCATTTACTCGGTCCGCTGTAATCTAGCGGCGGGTAGGATTATGGAGCCAGCTTCTGGAGCTACCTTCACACGCATGTTTTTCAAGGTATGATGAACTAGTTTAATCACAAGAATCGTTCGATTGAATTAGTTCGTCCGCGAACTACACACCACTAGACTCATGCCTCATTTCGAAAAGACAACATAGTTTAACCCAGCGCTGTAAACAGGTTTCTCTGTTGGGTACTAATGTATGAGCCCGTTCCCACTTCAGTTGGCCCACTTCAAGATTTGTACCAAAATATGGCTTTATAAACTAAACATGACGAAACTATTTACTTCTAAAACAATTTATTTTCTCAAAAACATTTTAGATACACTCTAGTCGTAAATAATACATATTTGAAATCACTTAGACCTATAACTAATAGAACATCTGAACAAATAAACAATGTGCGAATGAATGCGCGAAGTGAACAAAGCAACAATTGAAAGATTACCATTGGGTAACATCACCTTAATTTTTCATTACGGCTGAAATTCTTTGGGGCATAGTGTTAACCAAGTTTTGGCAAAAATTTGGTGTAAAACAATCCCATATTTCTTGAAGCTTTTGTGTCAGTTCGGTGATTGTACGAGCAGGATGTTGTCGTAGAACCTTTTTCATTTCGTGCCACAAAGTTTCAATAGGTGACAGATCTGTACTGCTAGAAACCCATTTCAAAAGTGGTACATTATTTTCTTCCATCCATTTTATAGCCTTTTTTGAGGTATGGCACGCTGCACCATCTTGCTGAAACACAAACTCTTGGCCGGATTTCAAACATTCTTCCATCACTGGTAAAAGCGATTCTTCTAAAATTGCCAAATATTTGTTTGTATCCACATTTCCATCAATAAAATGAAATTTTTCTACTCCTTTTGATGACATACTGCCCCAGACCATAATGGATGCTGAAAATTTCACTTTTCTCTTCAGACAGCTAACATGGAATGCTTCATTTTTTTTGCGAATAACTCTACCGCGACTGTCACCAACACAAACTTCGAATCGGGCCTCATCACTCCATTGTATTGCACACCATTGTTGAGGTGTCCATTGTCTATGTTCTTTAACCCATCTAAGCCGATTTTTCTTTTGCAGTGGAGTTAATAGTGCCTTTTCTTTGGCCTATAAACAAGTTGTGCAACTTTAGGGTTTTTACTTCACTTTTTTTATAAGAAAACTTACTTTGCAAGTGCTAAATCCCAGTTTGTGGGCCTCTCTATGAGTTGTGGACCTCGAAATTCCAACTGCGTCACTCGACAGACCAGTTAATTGTAAATAATTCGCATGCCTGTTTTTCACGATTATTCTTCTTAATGCTCTTCGGTCGGCATTTGTGATATTACTTTTTTTCACATATCGTGGCTTAATATTAACTGAACCAGTTATGTTATATCTTCTAACAATATTTCTCACACTGTACCGCGATAAGTCTAACAAAGTTGCAATTTCTGAGTCTGATTTCCCAGAATGAAAAAAATTAATTATCAGAAACCGAATTTTCTCACTAATAACCGTTCCTCTACCCATTTTGAAAACCTTAACTACCCAAAACTATTTTAAACGTATTCTGACAGCTGTGATTAATAAAAACAAATGTCATGGCTTTTATTTTTCACAGCCACCTATGCGTTATAGACTTATACTAAGTGACATATAAATCCGAACACCCAGTTTAAATGGTTTTATTTTAATAAAATTTTGTATAAGTACTTAATGAAGCATAATAAGTAAATGATAAAAATTTCAAAATGATTGCACTGCTTTAAAGCCCTTTGACCTTTAATAATGTGTGGATGCACCCTGATGTGCTACGCATTCTCCAACGCGCCTAGGCATGCTTCTGATCAGGTGGTCAATGTCCTCCTGTGGTATCTCATTCCAGGCAACCACCAACTCCTCTCGAAGTGCTTCTAGAGTCTGAGGAGGACGTTTCAAATTGAGCAATCTCCTACCCATCATATCCCACACGTGCTCAATTGGGGATAAGTCGGGAGATCTTGGTGGCCATGGTAACAATGTGACATCATTATGTTGAAAGAAGTCTATTGTGACTCTTGCAACATGTGGTCGGGCATTATCTTGTTGGAAAGTTGGATCTGCCAGGGTGTCAAGATAGGGTAAAAGATGGGGTTCTAGAACTTCGTGGATATAACGCTGCGCGTTCATGTTACCTCTGATGAAGATTAAAGGTGACCTGGAACCATAAGCTATAGCACCCCAAACCATAACTCCAACAGTGTGATGAACATGTCTTTCAACAAAAAACTGTGGATTCCTCCTTTCACCACGTCGCCTTCTAACCCTTACACCGACGTAATCGCCTTGAGTGGTGCAGACAACGGTCACTCTGGGATCAGGAATGGAACAGTATTGTCTTTAGTGACGAGTCTCGATTTTGTTTAGGCATGCACGATGGTCTAGAAGCACTTCGAGAGGAGTTGGTGGTTGCCTGGAATGAGATACCACAGGAGGACATTGACCACCTGATCAGAAGCATGCCTAGGCGCGTTGGAGAATGCGTAGCACATCAGGGTGCATCCACACATTATTAAAGGTTAAAGGGCTTTAAAGCAGTGCAATCATTTTGAAACTTTTATAATTTACTTATTATGCTTCATTAAGTACTTATACAAAATTTTATTAAAATAAAACCATTTAAACTGGGTGTTCGGATTTATATGTATATTTTGCATTGAAATGAAAATAGGTTGATATGCTGTAATTGCAACATGTGTTATTTTTATGCTGCAAATGATTAGGGAGTGATAAAGTTGGTGTTTTCTACTATATATTATCAAAATATTCATTGCTAATATTTTAAACCTATAACACCCTGATACATTTTTATTATTTGTCTTTGATAAGAAAAAAACTAAGACTTCAATAGTTGGGCCAACTGAAATGGGAAGGGGCTCGTATAAGTGTGGTGAAGTATCTCCACAGGTGGCACAAAAATCGATGCTTACCGCTGCATCTTCGGCTGTATACAAAACAGGACGCGTATAGGGACCGTCGAAAAATTTCATGTACACTGCTCCGATACCCCTACCTTGAGGTACCCAAAAATAGCCGGAAAAGCATTGCAGTGGGCTGAGCTTGTGTAGTAGACATTTCTGTCCCTAGAGCCGTACAGCGCAACTCATAACCAGTTCAGTGCCACCTGAGTTGTCGATCTGGCTTGTTTCGTTCCTCTGTAGTCATCATTTTTGCTAGAACTGTTTCGTGCTTGTTTCGTTTTTTACGATGGCAAGCTTCAGTGAGCAACGTGCAGCTGTGAAATTTTGCTTTCTAATTGGTAAAAAAGCTGCTGAAACTGTTTTAATGTTGAAAATAGCTTACAAAGATGATGCGATGGGAAAAACTCAGGTGTACGAGTGGTGTTTGCTCGATTTAAAAATGACGACATGTCGATTGATGACAAACCTCGCTCTGGACGTCCATCCACTGCCTGAATCGACGAAAATGTTGAAAAACTTCGATAGCTTGAGCTTGCAGACCATCGACTGACTATCGGTCAACTATCCGTAAGTACTGGGTGGTCCTGGAGTTCGGTTCACGCAAACTTTAACAGAAGGTTTGAGAATGAAAAGGGTTGCTGCCAAGTTTAATCCTCGGGCTCTGACTGACAATCAAAAAGAACCCCGAGCTGAAACATGTCCTGCTTTGGCACAACAGCTTGAATCTGATCCAAATTTTCTTTCAAAGATCATCACTGGTTATGACCCAGAAACGATCAAGTCAATGGAAGACGCCATCGTCACTCCGTCCAAAAAAATGTCGTCAAGTAAAATCAAACATCAAAACAACGTTTATTTGTTTTTTGATCTCAAAGGCGTTGTCCATTCAAAGTTTGTTCCCCCAGATCACATTGTCAATCAGACCTTTTATTTGGAGGTTTTAAGACGATTGCGAAGCATGTTCGTCAAAAAAGATCCGATTTGTGGCAGTCAGGAGACTGGTTCTTCCACCAAGATAATGCACCTGCGCACACAGCCATCTCTGTTCGACAGTTTCTGGCTAAAAATGGCATGGTTCCACTGCCTCACGCACCTTATTCGCCTGACCTGGCTCCATGCGACTTTTTCTTATTTCCACGAATTAAAAGGGGCATGAAAGGACGCCGCTTTGACGACATTGAAGAGGTCAAGAAAGAAACGAGGGAGGTGCTGTCAGACATTTCTAAGGAAGACTTCAAAAAAAGGTAGGTATAAGGCTCTAGTATTTTCTAAAAGCTTATATCTGGAAAAATAAAGTCAATATTCATACTACATATATTTTAATTTTAATTTGATTATTTCATTGACATCAGAGTTATTTTATTTTGATGTTACAGCGAAATCCACATTTTTCTAATGCAACCTTTCAATGAAAACCAATTTATACGTACGTCTAACTTTGACACCCTGTAGTAATAAAGAATAGAATAGGATCACTGTGCCAAATACTTAACTTACTCATTTATTGTGATTTTCATAATAGTATCCTGTTTTCTGACATTTTGTTGGCAATTAACGAAAAATGCTTCTATGATATGTTACAGGGATACAGTTATTGTTGTTATAATGTAGGTCTTCATTATAGTATCTAGATTTTACGTGTTTAAAGTGCCACCTAGCCCTGATGCATGCTCTGCACCTTCTAATAAATGTGCTTTTTATTTTGCGAGATTTCCTGAGAGGTCCATTTTCGGATGTAACTGTGTTACAGGAATCACCTCTGCTTGATAGACCATATCTTTAAGGCAAGTCTAATAAAACAATACAATCGAATTAGGTCCGGAGACCTTGGTGGCCAGTGGATAGGACCAGGGTATCAATTCCACTTTCCTGGATATCGTTGCTGCCAGGCCGAGCGTGCTGGTCAACCGTCCTGTTACAAGTTACAGCCACCATTTCTCGACTTATCGATACTGGTACATCTTCCAACAAATTAGGGGTCGGTTTCTTAGGAAGTCTAGGTAGATGTCACCGTGTGGGAGTATGGGCCAATCACCTTCCTATTCAGTATCCCAGCCTAAATGCCAAGACACGACACGACGGCTGCTATGAGGATCCCACAGAAATTTTGTTATTCCGATTTTTGAACTGTCTAAGGTTAGAACTGGGAAAGTTTCCTCTTGTAGATTGTTTCACAAAATCGTCACCCTTAGGACGAAGGGAGCTCTGAGGAGCAAAGCCCGTTGGTGTAGCGGTAGAAGAGATCTAGATCGTCGACGGCCCGCCGATGCGAAAGGATCCCGAGACTGTTTGTTAGAGAAGTGTCATCGATCAGTCGGACAGCCCTCCTCTCGACAGCATCGAGCATAGATAATGTAGTCGGGGTGACAGCACCCCAGACGTGTGCTGCCGTTATTGACGAGATGTGTACTGTGTTTTGGAAGCATTAAACTGTAAAGATTGTTGCGTCTCCAAGCAGTGATAACCTCCAGATCTCTAGTCAGTGAGGAAGTGGCCGCTAGTTTTCTTTTTCCCAGCTCACCGCCAGATTTCGGTTTGTCGCTACGAATTCCTTAATATCGAGTGCTGTCCTCAGCAAAGCTGCGGATTGGGTTGATCATACAGGAAAGGAGGTCGTTGATATGTAAGAGGAACATTGTCGGAGCCAAGACCGATCCCCGGGGAACACCTGCGTTGACGTTGCGGTCAGAGAGAAAGTGAGCCACCCATCTGCAAAGCTTCTCTGGGAGGCCATAAGATGGAAGTTTGCTTAAGAGGATAGTGTGCCACATCTCATTAAATGCTTTCATGATATCAAGAGCGACATGAACCTCACGGTAAGACTGGATCAGTTTACTCCACAATTGCACGACATAAGCTAGGAGGTCCTCTGTGGATCGCTGACGCCGGAAACTATACTGTCTGTCGATAATCAACATATAGCCGACGCATCTGGGAGCTAATTTCCTTATTGAATTGGAGGGGTCATCGTTCACTCCACCAAAAACCTCCTCGTCGGCATGCATTCGAGATCTGCCACCGTCACTTCTTGTATTGCCAATACATTTTCCCGGTAACCGACCATCAAGTATGCTCGAAGAACGTTAACGAAGACACCTTATCTCGCATGATATAATTCAGTAGCTTTGGTAGCGATGCGCTGGCATTCCCCATAAATAATAATAATAATAATAATAATAATAATAATAATAATAATAATAATAATTTTTATTGGAATGTATATACACAAAAATATAAAAACGACAACATTCCAAAAGGAAAGAGGATTGGCAGGGCCATTTTTCACCTCCCCCTAAAAAGTTAACTTCATGAGCGTTTTTTAACATCAACAGAATGATTAGTATTCACAAAAAATATTATGCACAACACAGTATATAATACGATTTAGTCTGAGTGTTAATGGAGGCTAGTGAGGCAAGCGCCATACATTTAATTGGTGGATTTAAATCTTTGCAGCTGTAGTAGCACTTTTTCCATCTCATTTCTGAAGTTTTGGATGGAAGGTGCTTCAAAAAGTTCTAAATAATCGTTCAGTAGATATGGTGCCGTATAAGTAAAACATTTTTTGAATTTAGATGTTGTATGAACTGGAATATTGAAGTATTCATTGTTGCGTAACGAAACTTGGCGGAGTGAACATCTCTTCTCCAAAGCAATAAACAGATATCTGGGCAATTTATATTTTAAAACTTTATATAGTACAGTTCCATACTGAAGTAATACACGATACTTGAATTTTAAAATATTGTCTCTTACATAATATCCAGTAATATGTTCTTGTATACGTATATCTTTGAAACAGAATCTCATGCAACAGTTTTGTAATACTTGAATTTTGTCCTTAATTTCTTCCGTAAGAAAATTATAATATACTGTAGCGCCATAGTCTAGATGAGTGAGTATTAGTGCATTGGTAAGCCTTAATTTTATATCACTGGTTAAAACATGTTTGTATCTCCAAAGTGACTTATATTTACAATAGCATACTCGAAGTTTATTAATGACACGGTTCTCAAAACTTAAATTTGTGTCCATAAAATGCCTAAATGCTTAGTCTCCTCTATAATTTCAACAGATGTATCACCTAAAACAATGGCTGTACTCATCAATCCTTTAAATTTTGAAATATTTAACCTAGAACCAATGCAGCAAGCTTTAGTTTTTGTGGGATTCAGTTTCAAACAATAATTTTTGGAATAGTTTGCAATCATTTCTAGATTTACATTTAATTCTTTAATCAATAAATTAATCAATTGCGTAGTCGCTTGTCGTGTACTCATATCTAAACTTAATGAAACAACTAACTCCATAGAGCAAAAAGTAGAAAACTGAAAAAAACCAACCATACAAATGAAAAGCAATGAATAACTACTCACCATAAAAATTACAAAACCATTGATCTGTGGTTACAGCTTTATATGCGAGACTACGGATGTCATTTTTGTGTGATAGTCTAATCATATTAGCAAATTTGCCCAAAATAATTGCAAAGTCTGGTTTTATTGGTGCAAGTTGTTCAAGGGGGTATTTAAAACATGGAGACATAAAATGGGTACACAAATTTTTGTGCGAAAACTTTTTATTCGACAACAAAGAATGAGAAAACGTTTTTTTTTTTTGGGATACAATGAAAAGTGTTAGCAGGAACGAAAAAACTCCTCGAATAAGATTTTTAGGTATTTATGGGACCTACAAAATGAGACCACACGTACAAATATACGACTTATAGGTATAAAAAACGTTATGGCGAAAAAACGAGGCAACATGCAGGTTTTGGCACCTGTTGGTAAAGTTTTCCCACAAAAATTGGTGAACCCATTTTATGCGTCTATGTTATAAATACCCCCTTGAACAACTTGCAGCAATAAAACCAGACTTCGCAATTATTTCGCAAACCAGGGGTATTTTCGTCTAATATTATTAGACTATCACTCTGGTGTCAAGAAATACACAAAAAATGTTAAACAAAAAATCATTGGAATATTGTCTTCGAAAATCATCATTTGCATTGCCACTGAAAATAAAATACTTGTACTACTTATGGTTAAGTCTCTATCTCTAGGTATTGCAATTTTTATAATGAGTGTTTAATCAGTGCGTTTTTATGCAATTATGTATTTTAAGATTGCATTGCATATATTTGCAATTAAACAGAATCTTCGCCTTAGGTGGATCATTATGTCTACATACTGGTACACGCCAAGTGAGTACTAGAGCAACTGAACTGTCATACGAGGTAATACGGTTTTTCTGTCACTAATATGTAGAGCAGGAGTTTCCAACCAGGGGGCGCGCCTCCCAAGGAGGGCATAGAGATATGTCAAGGGGGCGGAAAGCGTTTGCATTTTAGAAAGAAAAAACAAAAAAAATAAACAAACAACATTACCTAATAACATTACAATGTAATGTTTAATTTACACGCATAAATTAGAAATTAAATATCATATTCACTTATTCTGTCAACCGCTGTTTCAAAACCCGGCGTCGTCAATCGCAGTTTATACAAGTTTCGACAAGCGCGCACCCCCGCCGCGCTCCGCTTAACATTCATCACTTAGAAAACAATTGTGTACCTATCAGATCATAAAGTCATCGTTGGTTGTCAGAGCGGTCCGTGGGACCTTAGCTCTTGAGTCACAGTGTCAGTTTGTAAGTCTGTCAGGTCTGGTAACCCAGAAACCAGACAATTTTAAGGAAAAAAGGGGAAGGAAAGGAGAGAAGGAAGAACGAGAGCAAAGGTGAAGAAGAGAATCTTTTAGGATAGGCAGCGTTTAGGCATTGTTAAAATCACTTCAAATATTTGATTTTTTCTAAAGATTGTGTAAAAATGCTCCAATTTTGGTTGTTCTAAGTTCACGAGTTAATTTTGATTACAGTGCGAGCCGCGGCCTTTTGTGCTTGCGAACTTGCTCGACTGTGTAGTCCACTGACTCACGCAACAGAGGGTTGCTGTGCGATTGCGCTAGGCTATAGCGCCGCTGCGCCTGTTGCTTAATGTAGTCCTTTAGGTAAGGGACATCGAGGTCTCTATGTAGAGTTTCGTTAGAGACATACCATGGGGCATCAGCAATAGTGCGCAACGTCCTGCTTTGCAGAACCTGCAGATTTCGCATGTGTGTTTTAGCAATAAAGCACCAAGCCGCACATGCGTAAGTCATTGCTGGTCTTATGACCACCTTATAGAGTCGAATCTTGTTAATCAAACTTAATTTTGACCGTTTACATAATAATGGGTAAAGCTGCCGAAACGTAATTTGGAATTTAGTTTTTAGCGCTTCCATATGGTTCCGCCAAGTCATCCTTTTGTCCAGAATGACACCGAGATACTTAGCGGAGGATTCCCATGGTATACGAAGTCCATTCATTGAAACTTCAGACGGAACGCCGCGACGTCTTTTTGTACAGTAGATTGCCTGCGTTTTCGAATGGTTTATTTTAATTAGCCACCGATCCGCCCAATCTAATACTTCCTCCATCGCACTTTGCAGCCTGTCATGGACTAGGTCACCAGACTACGACTGAGCCACCAAAGCAGTATCGTCAGCATAGAGATAGACTTCACAGTTGCTGGGACTAGGGACGTCATGGATGTACAGTGAGAAAAGGATAGGTCCAAGGACCGAACCTTGAGGGACGCCGGCTGTAATCAGCCGTGTTGTCGACAGGACATTGTCAATTTTGATCCGAAATTTCCTACCTTCAAGGAAGGATTTCAGTAGTTTTAGAAGCCAAAAAGGGAAGCCCTTTTGGATTAGTTTATACAAGAGGCCCGCGAGCCACACCTTGTCAAATGCTTTTGAGACATCCAAAAGCAAGATGACAGTACTTTCGTTAAGGGTGAATCCTCTGGTTACACGTTCCACCAGCCTAACCGCCTGTAGCTCCGTACTATGTTCAGACCGAAAACCGAATTGCACGTCAGGAATCACATGGTGATCTGACGAGAAATTCTCAAGGTGATGTAGCACCTTTTCAGCGAGCGTATCACATGGTTGTACAGTCGGATCCCACTGGTGGAATTCAAACTGGAATGCCATGCTCGATGTTTGCAGTTGAAGTCCCCTGCCACAATAAGTGGACCCGAGCAGTCTAAAAGGACTTCCAGATCCGCCTCTTGCAGCCTGTTACCACACCTGACATACACCGATGTGATTTTTAACGGCACACCTCCCGTCATATTGACCACCACGGAAGCCGCTTCGATGCTCTGCATGTCAGCGTTTGTGCTTCTGTGGTAGTCAATACCGGGTTTCACTAGCACTGCCAAGCCGCCACCCCGTCCAGTCAATCTATCAGCCCGGATAACATCGTAATTCGGGAAAGCTAGACGATCTCCCGGATTAAGTAATGTTTCCTGCAGCAAGGCCACATCTATACTTTCGTCCACAAGACCTTGATGAAATTCCCGTCTTTTGGGAATGTCCCTTAGACCCAAACAATTCCAAAAAAATTGTACCTAGCCATTTGCAGGAAAGATCGCCTGCAAAGCCTGTGTTGCGCTAATCAGAGGACCTATGATCTGCTGTAAGGACCTTAGCGCGGTTGCCAGGTCCACATTTTGCGTGTTCGCAGAAGATCCCACACAGGGGGCAGCCAGGGTTGCATCCCTAGCTGCATCCGCGTAACTTACATTGCGCCTTTGCGCTATCACTTGCAGATTTTTCTTAGGGGCAAGTCTGCAAGTTCGGCTATTCGCTGGATGCCCCCCTCCACAGTTCGCGCACTTTCGTTCCTCTTGTTCTGTTTGAGGGCATAAGTGGGTCATGTGGTCAGAAGCACATTTTAGACATTTTGGTGGTGCAGTGCAGTAAGATTGCGCATGCCCATATTTTTGGCAGCGGTGACACTGCCCGATGAGTCTTGAGTTCTTTTGAACTTCGACTCGGATAGCCAAACCTAGCAGCTCGTGTTCGTTGAACAACTGCTGAGATTTTTCTATCTTGGGCAGTATGACTACCACCAAAGGCATGGGCACGCCGCCACCGCGTTTCAGGCGAATTATGTGCAGGGGGGAATATCCCCTCTGTTGCAACTCTTCCTTGATCTCAATTTCCGAAAGTGTCGCATGTACTCCTCTGATTACAGCATGAATGTTCCTCTCCGAGGGTAGAGGGAATGTGTGATGGGGCACCTCTTCCTCCCTGAAAAGACGAATAATCCTGCGATAATCATCCTCGGACTTGGGAATTATCCTGATTCCTGCATCGACGGCAACCGCGCGTTCGAATTTGATGCCCAAAGAAATAAACTTGTGATTTACGCCTCGCCATCACGAAGCATCGCGAAGAACGATGGGGGTAACACGTACCTTGCGTGGGGGCTGTGCAGTCGTGTCTTCTGGTACCTGAGATGTCGAAGGCGTGGAAGTAACCGATAGATTAGGCACAGGCTGTTTATTCGAGTCGCTTGCAGTTGAATGAGACGTTTCAGACTGCGATTTTGGTGGAGGGAGAGGAGGAAAGCCTGTCGTGTCGGTCTTGTTTCGTCGCGTTTTACGGGGCTTAACCTTAGTAAAACCGTCAGGGAGTGTATCGTCGTCTGTGGACGGATCGCTTGAATTATTTAACGGTCTCTTAAGATTGACAGCTTTGTCTTTACTGGGATTTTTGGGAAGTGTTTAGGAAAAATGTGTAATATTTAGATGGGAAGGTACCTGGGTTTTCAGTAGGAGGTCTAATTTAACTGTTAGGTCGGTAATTGTCCGCTGCTGGGCTTCGATGATCATCATCAATCTTTCTATGGTCTTCTTATCATCGTCCTTTTTTGACAGCTCCTGTCGAACCATCTCCAATTCGGCTCTCAACTACTCTATGGTCTGCTCCTTCGACTCCATCTCCATTGCCATGGTGGAAGCGCCCTTTCCTGACCCCCCTGGGTCAGTTTCCATAGTAAATACCTCGGTTATCTCGCTTTTCGTCTAAAAAAATTTTCCGGATCGAAGTTACGGGACAGCTGCTATCAGTGCCCTATACCTATCAGATGCGAATGAGCATCTGTGACATTCATTCCCACAAACTTGCGAAAAATTTGACATTTTGATGTACATGTTTTGTTGAGAAATCTGTTTGAGTGTGTGAAATCATTGTGTCACACTGTTAAAAGGAAAGTTTGTGTATTTACAAACTTCAGCTACCTTTTTTATTTAATTTACTAAATTGTTGATTGAGTGGAGACGCGTTCATAGATCGGCCATTGGGACTTTTTTACCACATCACAATCAAACCAACTTGGCGAAATAATTTTGAAAGGATGAACTTTAAGTACCTAATATTGATTCCAAATGTCCTTAAAATTACTATTATAACGTCAACATGCCTACAAAGATATAAATCTTTCGGTGGCCAATATACTGTTGAATACATTACGTTATTAAGATAAAATAATGGGCATATAATTAGTAATTACATGTAGGTATTTTGCTTATTTATTTATTACTTATTTGTTTTATTGTTATAGGTGCAAAATGGCAGCGAAAAAAAGAAAGTTTTCCCAAGATTACATTAAGTTTGGATTTACCTTGATAGAAAAATACGAGTAACAATTGCCTCAGTGTGTGATATGTATGAAAGTTTTAAGTAATGATAGCATGAGGCCCACTTGCCTTGAAAGGCATTTCAAGCAACAACATCCTACTCTGGTTTTGAAGACGAACTAGTTTTTTTCCTCTTAAGCAGAATCACTCAATCGGATGAGACTGGATAAATCGAGAAGTTATCACACACGTGTATCGCAGCATCTCAAAACTTCATTTGCAATAGCGTTTATGATAGCAAAGCATAAGAAACCTCATACTATCGGTGAAGAATTAATAAAACCATGTGTCCTGAAAGCCACGCAGATAATTTTAGGAGAAGGTGCAGAGCAAAAAATGTCTATTTCTCTTTCGAATAACACAGTAAAGAGTAGAATCGATGACATTGCAGCAGACATAAAGTCACAAATAATTAACAAAGTAAAATTATTGCCATTTTTTGCCATTAGTTGCGATGAATCCACCGACATCCTTAATTGTGCACAGTTAAAAGTGTATGTTCGTTTCATGGTTCTTCTGTTCCATACAGACGTACGCTGGCTGTCCAAAGGCAACATGTTGGCTGTGCAATGTTTAAAGATGACACAGGTCAATGGAGGTTGGCGTATTTAACTGACATATTTGACTCCTTGAATGAGCTAAACTTGAAATTTCAGGGCAGATACAACACTATAATAAGCAATTATGATTATACTCACGGGCTCATATCAAAGCTTCAACTTTGGAATCAAAAAGTGTCTTCTGAAAATGTTATATTTTTTTGTCGGCTGTTCGACGCAATTAAAAATAACATACTGGACGCAAATTTAAAGGCTGACATAAAAACTCATTTGCAAGCGCTGGAAGACGAATTTCGCAGATACTATCGAGACATCAATTCAGAGTCACCAATATGGCACATGACAAGAAATCCATGTGTCACAATTACCAGAAGAAGTTCAGGAAGAATTTCTAGAAATGAAGACTGATTCGTCCATGAAAGATGACTTCCATTTTTTACCATTGGAGAAATTTTGGATCAAAAGATTGCCTGTTAATTCGACACTTGCCTCTCTTGCTTTACGAATACTAGTTCCTTTTTCTTCAACTTATGTGAGACAGGCTTTTCTGCTCTAGTTTTAATTAAAACTAAACAGCGAAATTGTCTTGATGTCGATAGCGACCTGATGATAGCCTTGGCAAAATCAGAACCTAGAATCAACCAACTGGTACAGAACATGCAATCTCAAGTGTCTCATTAGTGCCTACTCGTATTTTATTCAAACTTTTCGAAAAAAATTAGTTTACTTAAACTTTTAAAGTTTCTCTGAATACCTGGTCTATTGAATATAATAAAGAAATACTATCATAAAGTAAGTCCTGCAAATACTTCTTATTCGCGTCATAAATCCAGATTTTTGGCATAACAGAAACTTTACAAACTTAAATTAAAATTGCTGAAGAAAATAACAAATAGTACCGTTGCAAGAACGGCATTAAATAACCAACTTTTCAAAGTATTTGGTACGGTATTTGGTATTTCAATCTTTATTACTACAGGGTGTCAAAGTTAGACATAGAAATTGGTTTTCATTGAAATTGTTGCATTAGATTAATTCTCATGTACGTAGATTTCGCTGTAACATTGGAATGACACCGATTTTGATGAAACAATCAGTTGTGACTATTTTGAAATAAATCCGGCTCAAGAAAATTCAGGTTTGTGGAAATGGTAACTAATTTACGAGCATTTTGCCTAATTTTTAAAACGGTCTGGGCGCTACAACTGATATTTGTCTACTGTTTTTTCGTTTTCTCGAGTTTATTTTCCAAAATTTTGAACTCGCAGTCGTTTTAATCGAACGAGATTTCGAAGACAGACGTATACTATATTATGAATTTTAGAAAAAATTCTAGTGAATTATATTTCTTCGTAAAGAAACTGGATTACGTGACCTACTTATCTGCCAAAGTTTTGCAGTCATCAATAATGCAGCCATTGGGCACATGCTACATACTAACTAGTCTAAGACAGTTTGAAACATAATTGTGTCCTCAGTTTGCATACTAACTTTATAAACAGTTCAGCGCATTTCAGTATGAAATATTTTTTTATAAACTTTAAGGCTCATCTGTGACCGTGTAAAAATTTCAGCTCTAAATATGTAAGGTACCTGTACCAAATAAGGCTACGTTAACGTTTGGATAGCTGTAACTTCATAAATATTTGCGAAACGATCATGAAATTTTAAAGGTATTATTATAGGCATGTTCGGTAAATAAGCTGTATCGGAGAGCTCCGAGAACTTTTCTTTTCATATAAAAAATATATATATTTTGAAATACTACCGTTGGCCTTATTAGGAACCCAGGTATCCAAATAAGGCCATGATCTGGTTTTTAATAAAGCCACTCTCAAACTATAAAATAAGACTGTTGAATAAACGAAATTATATTTCTAATTAACAACAATAAATAATTCTTAAATCCAGGAAGATTTCAAGTAAAAGATCAAATTGTTTTTACCTTCGCACTGATGACAAACAAATGGTACCTCACCGCCTCTACACAAGCCTAGACATTCCTCATGGACATATCTTAAGCATATTAAACAGAGATACGCATGTCACATATTTCCATCCTTAACGCATATGAAACAGTACCAGTTTTCGTCTTTATTCTTCCGGGAACCATTTAACATGGCCTTATTACGCACATCTAACCTTAAATATACAATTTACAAAATTGAAAACATTCAAAACCTGGCAACAGCAAATAACTACCTACCTATGCCTTATAGACTTACCTGATTGAATTAACAAGAGATTCCGCAAAAAGAAGCCGACAACATGCAAAAACGAAGACAAATTTGAAGCAGAAATTTTATAAGGCACATGTTGAAAACCGACGCTGTCCTACTACGCCATCTAGCGCCGCTCCGCAGCTGCTGAATTTATGGCTGCTAACTGCTCTCAATAAATTTGTAGAACTGCAGAAATCTTTAACTTTAAATGTTGATAGTTTCTGTAAAATCGACGGCCTTATTAGGTGCTTGGCATTATTTGGTAGCTTATACACCATATATATGGACTGAAAGCATTAAACTGTACAAGATTGTTGCGTCCCCAAGCAGTGATAACCTCCAGGTCTCTCGTCAGAGAAGAAGTCGTCGCTAGTTTCCAGCTCAGCGGCAGAGATCGGCTGTCACTCTGAATACCTGAATGTTACTTCCCGCAAAGTGTAGGGAACCCTTTGAATTGACGACACTTGGGCGTTGGTAGGGACGTCCATGGTGGAGTTGGCAGCAAAGATCTTGGCAAGGACTTTCGCTTTGGCCTTTGAGTCCCATACAATCGTTCCATCCTGACACATAAGTGGTGGAAGGCTGCTGCGTGAGATTTTCTTTTCAATCTGCTTGGCCAGCGTCCAGAAAGACTGGCTGCCATTGCGCTGTGACCCTGGTTTAGGCACTTTCACACCGTGGTCTGAGCTACCCAGTGCTGTAAGGGACAGGATGCGTGGTCAGAAAGGAATCCAGCAGGCTACTGGCATGTGACGAGATGCGGGGGAAAAAAGTAGTTCCCGTCACCAGCTGGGTCAGCCCTTGAGTAAGTGCGAACGCTTCAACTGCTGCATCGGTCTTGTTTGAGCCCAACCAAAGTAAATTATGGTCATTGAAATCACAGAGGAGAACTACCTCTGAAGCGGGGTGATCGATGATCAGGAAGTCGATCTTGACGGCGAGGTATTCAAGAAGGTCATCCCAGTTATGGTCCGAGAGAGAGCTAAAAAGGATGAAAATAAATTTAGGGGATGTTTCGGAGTTGAGGCGAAGCCACAGAATGGCTCTGATTCCAGAGAAACATCTCTGCAGCAGGAAAGACTGCTGCGGACAAAGACCACAACTCCCCCTTCTTTCTCAGATTGGAGTGCACCTCGTAATTTGGGAAGCTAAGATGGTTAATCGGTGTGGACTCTGAGATTTTTGTCTCCGTCAAGAAAAGCATGGCGGGACGATTGGATTGCAAGTAGTGATGTACAGCATCAATGTTGCTGTTAATCCCGCAGATGTTCGCGAAACAAATTTTATTTTCGATGTTCCCTCGAGTCCACCCTACAGCCGTCCATTCCGAGAATGAAGTGAGTTTACATCCGGAATTCTTCGTACTCGAGGGATCCACCATCATTAATTTCTTTGTTTTGGAAGATAACCGCTGCATAGCTTAGGTGTGGAAACATGCGGACATTTATAAGACACCCTTGGAAAAGCTAGCGGGTGGTACCGCGCCTCGGTCGACTGGCCCTTGTCTACCACCTTCTTTTTGCGTGTTAATGATATTAAATAGACCTAAAGTGACCCGTTGGCGGCCTTGTACCGCCACCCGGCAATCGGTACTGAGGTATTCCTTAACGCGTGTACAATCACTTGAACGGGAAGAAGTTGTATACTGGATACAACAACTTCCGGAACAAGCATTTGCCACGGCCTCGCTTAGTAGGAGTTAGGGTTTTTTCAGACTTTCCTTGTCGAACTTAGATTTACGGCATAGTTATTGTTTTCTCAGTTTTCGAACCAGTATTGATCGCATGTAAAAATGTTGGAAATCATTGTAAAAAGCTATCTGTTAGATCGTAATTATTTTGATAATGTATGTTTGTACGAAACAAGTACAGGAATATAGGGCTGTACATATTCACGTGTGGTGCAGCAGCTCTGTGATTTAAACGAATTCAATATAGCAACATAAATAGCATACGCGAGAAGAGATGCGGGGCATGTAGTATTTATTTTGAGCATCGATCGACGCAGTTTCTGGACAGGCCACAGGAGCACCGCTAAACAAATCTCATAAATGTCAATTTCCAAATTAGGCGTTCATCTAACATAGTGCTTCGCTGCACACCAATCCAGAACAAAATCAGTCAAGCTTTACACACTTTTCAAATTACTATTGAGCAATAAACAGAACCTTTTAAGTGCAATCTGTATAGCTAATATATTAGGTACCCAGACTTAGATTTGTCACAAGTCACAATACTCGTATATAGGTACGTATAAATCGTAAGAATTGTGCCGAAAACAAAAGATACCAAAAAATCGCAATGCTCAGTTCCTATAGCTATAACTTATAGTTAGGATGCTTCTGTCGCCATGATGTGTCACAAAGTAACACAATGGTGTTAGATTACAAAAACAGGTGTCAGACGTCTTGGGGGGGAGCCCCCGCGCCCCCCTCTAAATCCGCCACTGACTAGTATTATTTTTTGAACTAGCAGTAATGCTTCATCCAGCCACTATTGGCTCATATGTAGATGTTCAAAGCGAGTTTCAACAACATACTACTAACCCCCTGCAATAGTAAACGATAGTTTGTAGGCTACTACACAGATTGTACGCAATGTATGTGTTAACAAAATTTACATTTCCATTGTAACAACTCAAAGTCAGGGCTTTTAACAACA